AAACAGGTTCTCTTACTCAAGAACCTACGTAACAACCAAATCCATTCACCAAAGACTTTTAATCCTATTCAACTACTACTACCCAAAACCTAAAGCAAGAATATCTCATGCCAGCTAATGCACAATGTGAGGACTTTCTACTCCAGCCCATCTTCTAAACCAATATCTACCTAACAAATTAATAAGCCCAAACAAGTAGGAAATAATATTAGGAGATAAAATCTAATCCTATTAAAAATAAGATTAAGATAAAAATACTTTGAGTGAAAATAACTCAAACTAGGAATCCTATAATGAATGCATGATTATGTCATGATTTACCTGAAATCAGATTCCTCATATCGGTCAAGTTATGCTTTGGAAACCTGGGATTGAATGTGTTGCGCCAAAACGTCTAGTAAACGATATTCACACACTAACTCTCAACCTATGCTAGAGTCTAGGAAATGACAATACAAATTTCATACTAACAATCTCGATATATGACACCCTCACTATAGAATTTCGCTTAACTAATAATCCAAACTATTCTATTCCATGGACTAATAAATATGGGGTTATAAAGTATTGGGCTGACATTGCATATAAATTATTTCAAAAAAAATAAAAATAGGCCCAAACCCACCAATGTGGTGTGGTGTCACTACTGCAGACACAACCACTATTGCACTACTATTTATTTTTGACCTAAAAAAAAATCTGAGTTATATTTACAGCAACTATTAATTTATATGCTCCAACAAAACAAAGCTGGTACACACCATTACATCATTGTCATGCACTGTTTTTGTGGCAAAGACAGACAACACAATACGGATAACAGCATCATCATCATTCATCAGAAGGGTGCCAACCATTTTGCTTTTTAGAACAAACTGATCAAAAAGAACAAAATTATAAACATTAAAAAAAACAAAAAAAAAAACAATTAAATTGTGGGTCTCACATGAACCTTCGTTAATGAAGTCCATGGTCCTCACATGCTATCTGGTCACTAGGATGAGATGATTGGACACATCTACACGGGATGGATTTCCAGGGAATGTAAGGGGTCCACTTAATTGGAGAGCAATATGCGCAATCAAAAATTTATTGTGCCAAAAATTAATCCTATTTAATTATGTCAATTCCTGTCTAACATATAATATTTTACCTTCCCTCATCATATTACTCAACAGTTTTTGTATACGCATGCTGTGTACACACTTCTTTGATACTTCAACTCCGTGTTGTCGATGAGTTTGTCTAGTGAAAAATAATCTTAACTTGTATATCGGTGGTCTTAGGTTCGAACGCCTATGATAACTTAGCAGTATGTGTAAAGAACTCTCCTACTCTTTCAGACAAAAAAAAGAAAAGAGAAACTCTCCTTACCGAAAAAACAAAGAGAAGCTTGAACAAGCTGACAATTATCCTTAGCGAGAAAACAGGACATGCTAACATATACAAGTTTATGAGCAAGCGTACAATCATTTTCTTATATGGGTGTTAAACATCCGATTTTTTAATCCAGACTCAATCACCATAGTGTAATTTTCGGTTAATCGGCACATGTTCTTGTTTAAAATCCAAAATCGAAGTTCGTATGGTGATTCTACATCCTAAGTAAACAAGCATATACAGAATGACATTATAAAAAATAAAAATAAAACTCGAAAAAGAAATTGATGAAAATTGATGTTTATGGAAGCAAGTTGCGACTCGAAGCCTAAAAAATAGCATGCTGGTCGACCGGCCTATAATCGCATGGCGGAGGAAACCAGAAGATTAACATCCGAATGTAAGAACAGTTTTGAGTCACCCTCTCAGACTCTTTTGTAACTAAAAAGGGAATAAAAACCCAATTTTGGACCTACCACTGAACTCCATTTCCATATGACTACATGCACATGCAACTGATACCACTCAAGAAAGCCTAAACTTTGAACAGCACAATGGAAATAGAAAAACAAAAACAAGAACGTAACGGAGTTTTTTCTGTTCCCAGAAAACCAATGAAATGTGACCCTCCCCAGTATAATACTGGGAAACAGGGCCCCACAGCTACCTATTAAATTTGATAAAGAATAAGAACTCTAAAATTTACCACACATTCTCGAAGGAGAGGGTGGTGGGCCCATTCCAGTCAACTCCCACAGTCAAAACCCTCTCTCATTCTCTCTCACTCTCACACGCACACACATTCTCAGGGTCACAAGCCTTCGTTTTTATGGTTCCCAAATGTGTTAACATACTGGCTCGTTGTTTCTTACCCCACTTCTCTTTGCTCTCTCTCTTGGTGAGTGGAACTTTCCCTCTTGGTCTCGACCATGGCAGTGTACGGACCGGGATTTCTTCTGGGTTTTCTTGTATTTCTTGGAACGCAGCTTCTCCCTCCAATAATGGCAGGTGAGTAAATATTTCTGGGTCATTTTCTTGTTTCTCATAAAGCTCTGCTTTGGTTGTTGTTCTTTCGTTTTGCTTTGCTTTGTTCTGTTTTGAGAGTGACTGAAGAGGCTGCAATTGTATTTAGTTATTCGTATTGTTGTTGTTTTCGTTTTCCTTCTTATTGCATTTCATGTTTTGGGCGCTTTCACTTTCAGAGACCCCATTTTGGGTTTATAGGAGATGGGTCCTATAGAAAATTTCAAGTCCTTCACTTTTTTTTTTAAATTTTAAGGCACCCGTGAGTCTGTATTTTTTCTTTCCCTTTTAACGAAAAACTTAATGTGCTGTGATTTTTAATGGGGGCACTTACAATGTGTATAATTTTCTGGGAGATTTTGGGATTTTACGAACTCATTCATTTGGCGGAGGTGCTCTAGGTGGATAGATGTTATTGGCATGGTCGTGTTTTTCAATTTTGAGCTCAATTTGGCTACAAGCTCACTTTTGCATTTTTAATGGGCATTTCAGAAGTGTTCTTTGGCACATTATTGGTTTTGCTTAGGAGTTTATAGCCAAAGTAGTTACACTGCAACTGGGTTTTTGTAGTTTCAGAAATCTCTCTGTGATCTAGTGTATTCCACCTTTTTTAGTATTATTGTTGCCTCGCATAAGTATCTTATTCTTGTCTTTCATAGAAGCTATATAAGAAAAGGTTGCTGACCTTATAATGAGTCACATGTGCTAGCTTGGCATTGTATCCTATACCAATACGGTGTGCAAGATAGAGCATTGCATCAATGCATCACAGCAAATATGATTAAAACTTTTATAGCTCCCACGTAAATAAGGAGTTGCCTTGTTCTTTGGAAGATCTATCTCGTGTCTGGTACTGCATATACTGGCACACGTGAAAGATAACGTATTTGTAATCTGTCTTGGTTTGCAGTCATTATCACAATAGCACTTCAAACTTTTTAGGATAATCCAGGAAAATGCATCTTCATTCATGAATAAAGTGCACTGCTGAGTCATAATCTTTTCTGTAAGTGACAAATGTGCTTATTCTATATCTCAAATAGGACGCTATTTTTCTTTTCTTCCTTAAATTGTTCTTATTCTTTACTTATGTACAACACAAGTTTTGAGATCCAAGACTCAGATGTGCTGGACCCTGCATGAAGAAGTCTGAAAAGCTGCAAGATATGGGTTATCTATGTACTTATTTTCTATGCAGAATCTTATATCTCCTTTCCAAGGCTGTGATATGTTTGCCTTGATACAAACTTTTAAATCCAATTGTAAAGATTATTAGTATTTTTCTGTAATGTTTAAACAGTCTGCTGTCCCATGTTGCAGCTGTTTTTCAATGAAATATGGTTTCCATAATTGATACCCCAAAAATGGGAAGAAAAAGCCATCTCATGTTGCCCATAATATCTACTTTTGCAGAGTGCCCCTTAAAGTTGAGTGGATCAAACATTACTCTGGCCGCTTCCTTGTGCTCTAATAACAATGACAGAGGAAAGTGTTGCCGCTATATAAATGCTTTCATTGCTGTTTCTATTGCTCAGTATGCAAATTCAACAAGCAACTTAGGGGTTCCTTCAAATTTATCTGACATATGCCTCCATTCTATATCACAAACCTTAGAACTGTATGGAGTCCCCCGAAATGCAACAGCTTTCTGTGGGTTTGGGACAAAAATTCCAGTAAATTATGAGTGTAAGGGCCGAACAACTGTCACACAGATGCTGCGGTCTCCAAAATTCATTGATGTCATGGAAAATTGCAAAGTACCACTTTCGGAGGAAAGTACTTGCAAGAAGTGTTTAAATGCTGGCATTGTTTATCTTCATCATCTATTAGGAACAGAAGATAATATAACATTGAGTACCTGCCGGGACGCAACTTTTGCTGCACTGGCTAGTCAAGTTGATGATGCTTCAGCTATTGGCATTGCAAGCTGTTTCTTTCAAGTCCAGGGGCTTAACATCCTACCAGGTATGGATAGTTCTGGCAGAGAATGAAATTTTATCTTGTAAGAGTATGTGACAAATATTGGTAAACTGGAATGATGAATGAATTTTTGGATCCAGTTTTGTTGAGAAGCCCCTTCAAATGAACTTGGTCCTTCAACTATTGCCTTTGTCATTTAATTATTTATTTTTGTCGTGGAAAGGTTGGTGTTGGGAACAACTTTAATGTATTTTGAAATGTTTCTATGGCAAGCTTTTGATGAGGATATCTATGCCAGTACATCATTTTTCTTGAAACATATTGCAGCAGTGATCCTTGTTTGTTTTTTCAATCACATAGTCCAGTAAAATGTACAATACATTTTTGTTATGAAAGTTATCCTTGTAATGTTAAAAGCTGAAGATCTGGATTTAACTTATTATTCATGGTAATTATGTGTTGGCATGTTTTATAAATGGGGTTCTTGGTCTCTCTCTCTCTCTCTCTCTCTCTCTCTCTCTCTCTATATATATATATATATATTAAACCAAACAGTTAAGGATTCTTTTATTTTTTTGCTTACAATTGTGTTTCTAGTTTCAGAGCCATCCTCATCATCCACCCCAAAGGCCTCTCCGAGCCCTTTGGTTGCTTCTAGCCCAAGCCAACACTCGTTGGGTCTTCCCCTAAATGAAAAACATCATTCCTACCACTTGACAATGGTTCCAGGTATTGGGATTGCAGTAACAGCTGTCGCTGTAATGATGCTTTTAGTCTTGATAGTTCTCATTCGAAGGAAAAGTAGAGAGCTTCTGGATTCTGAGAATATAGATAAAAAATCATCAAAATCCTTTCCCTCAACTCCTCCTATGAGGAAATTTCAGGAAGGTACAATTCTAGTTTTTTTTCCCTGTTAATTTGCTTTCACAGTGACCGGTATTCCTTATTGAAATTTTTTTTGTTGGGGTTCCTCTCTGGGATGGGAAATAAGTGCAGGTGCTCCATCTATGTTCCGAAAATTCAGCTACAAGGAAATAAAGAAGGCGACAGAAACCTTCAACACGATCATTGGACGAGGGGGATTTGGAACTGTGTACAAAGCTCACTTTAGTGATGGTTTAGTGGCAGCAGTGAAGCGGATGAACAAAGTTTCAGAGCAGGGGGAGCATGAGTTCTGCAGAGAGATAGTGCTCCTTGCCAGATTGCATCATCGTCATCTTGTTTCTCTAAGGGGTTTTTGCAGTGAGAAACATGAGAGGTAGATGATTTATGTAGATTTGTGTATGTTTGTGGAGCTTATGTACCTGCCCAAATGCTTTATGTGTTTCTTGGCAGGTTTCTCATGTATGAATACATGGCAAATGGTAGCTTGAAGGATCATCTTCACTGTATGCTACTCCATCTCCTGAATTCACTTGCTTTGAGAATGGTTTTGTAAAACCAATTTATGGAAAGGGATGATTTTATGGTGTTTTTCATCGCATTTGAAGTCCATTGTTTTATCTTTTGGTGCCTCTCTGTTTCTGTCTGTCTGTCTGTCTGTCTGTCTCTTGGTGGAATCCCACTTAATATGTTGGTTGCCACCTTTCTGAATGATATATTCAGACATCCAAAAGCTATGGAAGATGACATAAAATCATTCTCTTATTTTGTTTCCAAACCAACATTCTTTTTAAGGCCATTGATCTATTCTGAATATGTTTACTCACGTGTATGCAGCTTCAAATAGAACTCCTCTAACTTGGCGGACTAGAGTCCAAATTGCCATTGACGTGGCTAATGCTCTGGTAAACTCATGGTTTATGCTTATCTTGTTACCGGCTTGTTTTGTTCATGAGATTTCAGATTTGTTCACAATCAGTTACACAAACACACACACTGAAGGAATAGATTTTCTTCCTAATTTGCTGTTCTGAACTGCAGGAGTATCTCCATTTCTATTGTGATCCTCCTCTGTGCCATAGAGATATTAAGTCCAGCAACATCTTATTGGATGAGAGTTTTCGTGCCAAGGTATATGGTTGGATACAGATACAGCTTTTAATACAATCTCTTTGGTGCAAATTTTTATTTTATATTTTATATTTTATAAACAACTAAATGAAGAAAGATAATAGTTTTTCTCTTGATAGATCCAGGTGTGTTCACATACTCATTTGTGACTAAATTTTCTCCTCTTTAAATAAAAGAGGTTCAAAAAGGAAAGGACACTTTTTACAATTACTTTTAGAGTTTTAAGATATTATGGCATGGAATGTATCCAGAAAATGCATGCTAATAACTCCTTTTAAATTCTTTGAAATAAATCTCTCTCCTTTTTGTTCCAGGTTGCAGATTTTGGCCTTGCGCATGCTTCAAAAGATGGTTCTATTTGCTTTGAAGCGGTAAACACGGATATCCGGGGCACTCCAGGTTAGAGTCAAGCTTGTTTAATAGCCTGAAATAAAAAAGATATATTTTTTCTTGCTAAAGAACTTAAGAATATTGAACGGATGACTTCAGGTTATATGGATCCTGAGTATGTGGTTACCCAAGAGCTGACGGAGAAAAGTGATGTATACAGCTATGGTGTGCTACTGTTAGAGATAGTGACTGCGAGACGAGCCATACAAGACAACAGGAATTTGGTAGAATGGTCGCAAAAATACATGGCATCAGAGCTAAGGCTACCTGATCTAGTGGATCCCAGTATACGGGATTCAGTTGATCTGGATCAGCTTCAGACTATCATGTCTGTTGTGAGATGGTGCACCCAGAAAGAAGGCCGGGATAGGCCTTCAATTAAACAGGTGCTCAGGCTTTTGTATGAGAGTTCAGATCCAATGTATAGTGGATTTCTAGCAGCTGTGGACGATGAAGAGTACGAAGAGACTGAAGGACGGGGAAGGAATAGTAAAGGGAAGATGCACAGGAGTGACATGATTTTTCACAGTGGGGATGGAAGATATCTTGCTTCTTCTTCAAGTACATCCAGGTCCTACTGTAGTAGAAGCTTCTTGCTAGAAAATGGTTCCCCACAATCCCCTCCAAATATTCCATCCGTTTGAGGCATTCATTTAGCCATTATCACCAATTAGAAAAGGCTGGTAGCACATGATCATTTTTGAAACCACTGAATCAGATTGCCGGCCTGTTGCGAGATTCGAGGTACGTTGAGTATTTCTTTAGCTCAACCTTTTGAGAAGCACATTAAACAACGTCAAGGTGTTTCCCAGCATAGGCCAAAGGCCAAAGAAAATTGTGAGGACGGTAATGTTGCATCCTTTTGTGTTAAAAGTTTTGGGGAAGAGAAACATAGATATATATATCTTTGCTTGTACTTTGGGTATGAAGTTTAACAATTTTATAACCAACATTTAGTATAAATTAGTGTTATACCTAGAAGTGTCTTTTGGATATGTAACTCCACATGAATTCGAGTTACTTGTGGTGGCCAAAACAGATAAAAAGCAATCTTGCTGATCAGTAAATGCATGCCAATAACCCCATTGAATCAAATCAAACATATAATTGGGTTCATGCAATTTTTCCTCTTTTTTAGTAATTTGAATTATGAACATTTTAAGCGATTTGATGGAGAATTGTGTTGCGTAATATATTATAATGGACTGGCATGCATACGGCCTCAGAATAATCCTCAACTCAAGCAATCAAACAGCAAGCTCGAAAAACAAAAGAAAAACAACAGCAAAACAAAGCAAACCCGCCCTCAACTCAATTACATAGTATTTTCTTTCAGAAATTAGCACTTGACGAACAACAAACTTTTATTAGGAAAATCCATACAAAAAACCTGCAAAATAACCCAAATAGCTAGTAGAACTGGAGGAAATAGACAGAACAGCGAAAAAGGAGAAATCTAAAGAAATAGATATAGACAGACCAGTCAAAATAAATCCCCTTCCTTCAACAGTATGTAGTCAATAACTTAAATCGTTCTGGAATCTTTCGCAATCCTCGACAGCGGCTTATCTTTAGATTCTTGAGCTTCATCATTGCCCATTCTTCCACTATCAATTCCTCTAAAAACCATAAACATTGTAAATGTAGAATGTGCAATTGAGGAAACCCTTCTGAGGAGGAGCAAACCAGTTTTGTCCAGTTCCATGAGTTCAATCCCAAGAGAAGCATCTTTAGGTTTGGCAAGCTCCCAAGCTTAACGATTGAATCTTCCTCGAGATCAGAATTAAAAAGACTTAGCTTGATGAGGCTCGGTGGGAATTGGTGTGGATCAGGTAGCTTTTTTATTTCCCCTTCCAAATGGAGCTTGCGGAGATGCTCCAAATGAGAAAGGCTTATGGCTCTTGGCAATGTTGAATTGGACAGATAGAAATCCAGCGACAAGGATTCAAGGCAGTGCAATCTCTCTATGTTGGAAACCACTGACTTTAAATGTTCTGGCTGCGATAATAGTGCTATTTGCAGTCGTCGCAAATTAGTTAAATTGTTTATGGTGTTCAATCTAAAATTCATTATTATGACTTGGCCGAGCAGCAAATGTCTCAAATTCTTCAACTTCCAAATAACATCGGGAAAATAACACCATCGGAAGTCTGCATCGGAAGTTTCTACTTTAAGTGTTTGTAGATTCTTCAGTTTTCCAATCGATCGAGGAAGCTTGACTTGAAGTTGCCGCATATGAGATCTCATTAATACGACTCCTAGATACCTCAGTTGAATTAGGTTTCCTACGGCACTTAGTGCTCGCGATGGAAAGGGAACACCATCTAGGACCTTGAGCAACTTGAAATCCTTGAAAACAAAGTCGAGTTTTGAATACCTTATGTTGAAAAACTGAAGGGAGCGTAAGCAGGAGGCATATGGCTTTAGAAAAACATACAAATCATGATGGTCACCATGGATTGCAAGCCTTCGACATTTGGTCCGTTGTGATGTTGGCGATTCAATTTTCTGCCCACTATAAATTTCAAGAAAACTTTCCTCTTTGCCCTTGGAGATAGAGAAGTCTCTGAGAACATCATGCATGTGAACGGCTTTAAGACTTCCAAGTGAGGTTAGTGTTCCTACCTGGATCATGCACCTATCAACCAACTTGTTTAAGCATTCGGTAACACCTTCCGCGGCTTCTTCTCCTTGTTGTAGTAAGAATCCTTCTGCAACCCACAATTGTATCAACTTTGTTTTCGATATAAAGGAATCCTCAGGGAAAATACCCAAATACAGAAAACACGATTTTAAGGGGAAAGGCAAATCATTGTAGCTTAGAGCTAAAATTGCAGAAAGACGATCTTGATCAATCAGGCGTGAGTCGATGCTTTGAAGCACGCGTCTCCATTCCTCTACGGTCTTCCTTTTCGTGGACAATAATCCTCCCAGCACTACCACTGCTAGTGGCAGACCACCGCATTTCGCCATCATCTGTCTTCCGAGATTCTCCAAATCAGGAGGCATTTCATTCATTCCCGGGAATGCTTTTTTGCGAAGCAGTAAAAGGCTTTGTTCTTGTGTTAGAAATCGCGGTTCAATGGGTTCGTTCATTGGATCTGCATATAAAGCAACTTCCTTATTTCGGGTGGTGAGCATCACCTTACTTCCCATCTTTCCCCTTGGAAATGCAGATTGCATGCTATCCCAGACCTCTGTTTGCCAGATATCATCAAGAACCACTAGATACCTTCTCTCCTTCAACAATTCGTACAGCTTCAATACCAACGCCTCCTCTGCTAGTTTCGTCAAATCCTCCATATTGCAATTAGGAATTGTAGCTGCAATTATTCCTTGTAGAGTGTCCCTTCTACTGTAATCATTAGATACATAAACAAACGCTTTGCAATCAAATTGTTTTGTGATATCACAATGGTTGTACAATTTTTTCGCAAGAGTGGTTTTGCCCAGACCCCCCATGCCCACAATAGAAACCACACGGCGATGCGGGTCCATGCTAGACAGTTGTGTTAGCAATGCTTTGGTATCTTCTACAAGATCAACCAAATCATCTTCCTCGATATTGGGTGATGTATGTCTCCACCATCGAAGCCTTTCATTTGGGGAAGCACTCGTCCTTTCACGTCCCTCTCGAGCAGTGCCAGTGATCCCAAAATGTTCTTTTTGGCTTGAAATGTTTTGGACCGTAAATTTGATTTCTCTAATCTTCTTTCCTGCCTGGTGAAGATTGATTAACTTTGCAGCTATGTTCCATGAACTGTGAGATGCTGCTTCTGCAATGTAAGTTGCTATAACATCTTCGGCATCCAAAGCCACTTCTCTTATTTGAGACACCCAATTGCGAAATCTTTCATTTTTCTCCTGCTCTGCATCTGCATCCTTGAGGAAACTTTGCATCCACCGCAGTTCGTTTCGTAGTTGCTCAACTTTGCCACCCACACCTTCCAAGAGAAGTGCTTCTTCAGTGATACAGCTCGTGAGCTTTTCGACGACAGCCGAAACTGCAAACTCAGCCATCTTCCCTTCTTTCTGGCTTCTGTTTATATGAATGGTTGGTTGCTGTGCTTCACCTAGGTATCTGAGTTCCTTGGACTCCCTTAACACAACGTGAAATTTGCCTTCGGATAAATATAAAGTTCGTCATCTTTGTGAGAAGAGAACAATTGAATTTCATGGAACTTGCAAAGCGTTATTGCTTGGTGGATGCCCAGCTAAAACTTTTTATACTTTTCAGTGGGGAACTTGCAAAGTGTTATTGCCTGGTGAGCTTGCAAAGCGGATAAATAAAGATAAAGCTCCTCATTTGAGTGGGAACAATTGAATTTGAAGGGACTTGGAAAAATTAACTGTGAAGTGATTGGTGCGTCCTTCCATGCACCCACCTTCCTCATATTCAAGGAACTTGCAAAGCGTTATTGCTTGGTGGATGCCTGCCTAAAACTTTTTATACTTTTCAGCACCAATAATTTTTTTTTTTTGGGGTGGAATTTCAGCACCAATAATGTTTAAACATCTTTACACAAGGACAGGATGGAGCCTCTGATAAGAACCAAAAATGTTAATATAGTTTTTTTTATTAACAATTGGACAAAGTAAATGGAAACATGTAGCAAATCAAATGGGCAATCTGACAAAGGAAAGTGCCGTGAAACAAGTGTGGAAATTGTCATGGCTTTTATTGACATTATTTGATGCATTAAGGTGGCATTGGCATATGAAAGGAAAGTTTGTTGTCTGGTGCTTTCGGCTGGCTTGAGGCAATGGTAGTGCCAACGGACGTCCATGCTCACTCTAGCCCAGTATTGACTTTGGAGAGAGACAAATTAGGCTTAGTTGTATAAACTCAATCCAAAAAATATTAAATAATAACTCACCACCTTTTTTTTAGAAAGCAGCCCACATCTACAGCCAAATACTTTAATACTTCAATTACTAAAGTTTCTTTTCTCTCTCTCTTCTTTGGTTTATTCAGCTTTTGATTTGGCTCAAATAAGGTTTATATGTCTCTCTGATTTTGTTTTTTCAAATTTATTGAAGTTGCCTTTTCTTTTTTTTTTTTGGAAATTTTGAAATATGGACCCTCCCTAACTAAACCATTCCGCTGAGCCAAAGTCCTTGAGCTTCAAATTGTTCTTCATCCAAGCCTCTAAATTTTGGTTTTTCTAGGTTTTCTTTGTTTGTTTTTGGTTTCTTTGTTCACATATCCCTCCGAAAATAGTAGTTATTTTAAATAAATTCTGAAAATAATTTTTAATTTGAAGGAAATATATTGAATCAGTAAAAAAAAAAATACCACTTTCATAAATCTG